GTATAGAGACAGTATATACAACTGAATGTGCCGAATGTAAACAGAGATAATTAGATTCGTGTGCGCGTTTGCCTATGCGGGATGAATCATGCGTTTCGACATTACTCATCCTCGAAAGGTCGCTGAGCGAGCGCGGCATTCGTCTTCGCCTTACGGGCGTGCCGTTGTTCGAGAATCGGTGTGCATTACGCGCCGCATTCGAGCCGGAAGCGCGAACCCTGCGGTAGAAACCTCGTGAAGGATAGCGCCTTCTCCCTTCTCCTTCCCCTTTCCCCTGGCTGAACTGACCTTATTAATATACGTGGCGCATGTTGAACACGACCGATCGTGCACGGCATCGAACCTGAAATATGTTCGTGCGTATCTTGGAAAGGGCGGTATATATTTTTTCGACGTCGCGGTGGGAGAGACCGTGAAAAATCGCGCCTGTTAAGAAGAACGGGAGCAGCTTAAAAAGCTTTCGACGGCGAGAGGAGAGGCTGGCGGGGCCTGTCGCGCCAAAAGGTGATTCGCGAGTCGCCGGAGCTTACGTGCAAACACGCGACGCTATTGATCGAGGAATCTTATACTCTCTTAAGCAGATGCGGCTGAGCAACTTACAATTAGTCGATCTGTTCGTTACTTTAAACGTTGCGAGTCTGCGGGAGCAGTCAACGGAGCTCGCAATCGTAAAAAATGAAATTGCGGTTTAGTTCCTTAAAAAGGATTAAAAACAATTTACTTGCTTGACATTTATGCCCGAGTAAAAAATACTTCATTTTGAAGCTGCTCAAAGTGCCGTAAGAAATTTGCATGACCAAATAAGAGATTCCGGGCACAATTAATCTACCGCATTTTTAAAAAATGCTTCTAAATTCCTCGATTTCTCATCAGGATTATCCTTGCCGCTCTCCTCCTACAGACGGCAGGATGGAAAATTAATTCAGAAATTTGCTGCAGCGTCTGCAAGAGTGACACGTCGAGTGTAAATTGATTCTTACGCGCCACCCGGATTATCTGTTATCGGCGACTTCGATTTGCATTCAAGTACGGCCCGATCGATCATAAATTTCGATGAAATATTCTCAAGCGCGGACACTTGAAGCAGCAGCGCTAGAGGGTCTGTTCTACGGTAGTAAGCAACTTTCTCGCGCTCACTTTGAACGGGAGGAGAGTGTAAAGCGCACCTGAAAACTGAAGGGCATCGAGTGCGCCCGGCCAAAAAGAGCTGTAACGCAATGGTCACGTCAATAAAACCCTTCAGTGCTCGTCACATATTTGGCGAATTTCGACAGTTTCTTTATATAGCCGCTCGCTTTCGCAACGCAATTTTCCCTCAATTCACTCCGAGCCCGAGTTCCAATCGAACGAACGGCAAAGAGACATGGCGTGATCCACTTGTCCATTGCACGCGCCGTCGAAAGCGAGACGTTATTGTCAATATTTCAGATTCATCGAGAGCTTTTCGTATTACGGTATGCAAAAAGGTGTGCCTGGTCGCGCGAGATACGCGCGCGGTCGGTTTCTTCCATGCAGCGGGGCAGAGCCCCCAGCCATAGGGACTGTACATCCGGGACTCGTAAATTATGCGCGGAATTATGAAAAAGGGGGACACGGTTGCCCTCGGTCACCGGGTCGCGCAACCTCGGTTGACCTCTCATGCCAAAACAGTCGGCCGCCGCGCCGCGCCGCCCTTTGACATCGGACCGTACATACTGTAAGCGGTGTATCGATGACAGATAAACGAGTTTGGCGAGCGAGCGCGGATGCGCCATAAAAAGAAAGTCTAACGATCCACGCGGAATCTGCAGGATACGCGACCCGTTTAGATGAGCACGCTGCCAATATCGCTGTTTCGGCCGATATCAATTTCGCCAATGTTCGACATAGTTACAGTTACGGCACGATAGACTCGCCGGACTCTGTGCTATTCGAAAAATAAAATGGATTTTTAACTAATACAGAAGGAGACAGACAGCCGAATGTTATATAGCGTTCTCTTTTTCTTGTTAAAGCTAGATACGTAGAATACCGTTACACACTGGAGAAATGAAATCACTCGTCCTATACAGTTGCTCTTGCGCGACTCGGCATAATTTGTCTTTTACGTACATTTTTTTTGAGAATATATTTGGAAATTCTTTACCGTTTGTCTCTCGATGTTAAGAACTTCATTGTCTTTCGTTCGGAGGAGCGTAATGAGCCGTACGAGCGATTTAATCTGCGTGATTGATAACGAAGGAGGTAATCGACGAGGCTTACGCTAAAAGAAAGCGCTAAAAGAGGAAAGCTCTGTACGCTCATTAATTATTCGTGGCGGAAAGACTTTGCAAAATTGTCGAAGTTTCTCCGCGAGAGAAGGTGGTGGCGACGACGGTGCTGGCAACGCGGCGGAAGGGAGAGGGGCCACCGGGGAGGCGATCGTTTTCACGAACTCTTGTTTCTAGAGCCGAGACTCATTTAACTCGGTTACGAACACAAACACGCTGTTAACAACCCGCATCGGAGGATCAAAGCCTCTTAAAGTGATTTCCTGGTCGCGGCACGGATCCGTCGGAGAATTCCCGTAATGATATCTAACGAAATCAGACCCCACACGCGAGGCGAACTTAAATACTAGAGGGGGAGAAGGGGAGGGGTGTCTGCCGCTTCCGCTCGTTGTGTATCTTCCGGGAAATATCGTTTGTCCCGACATAAATTCATAAATATTATTTGTCTCGAGATAAATAGCGCCGAGCTGTGCCAAACAGTCCTATTAGTGACAAATATTGACGCACAGTTTAAAATGCAAAGCAACGATACAATTTGATTTTCGATATCCTATCCCGTTACAGAGTGCACTTAATTAGATCAGTCGGCGGGATGCGTCGAAAATTTAAACTGTGCGCGACATGCGAATGAACGAGAGTACGGCCATTAAAACTATTAACGTGCAATTTAATTTGGGACGAGTATGTGCTTGCGTTAATCACGAAATACTTTGCCGCGATAATGTTTCGCGCGTGTATTCTTTTTTCCTCTCCGGCATTACCTGATTGTATATGTAGTATCAGAACCACTTTAGCCGTCGTGAATAATTCAAGAATTCACCTTCGAATGAGTTAAAAAAAATATACATATGAAAATAAAATCTACAAACTGTTTCACATTTGTTCGGAAAACTTGCGGCATTACGTAATCATAATTTCACGAACGTCACGACAATCTGCATTGTGATTCCCATGAAATTTTACGAACGACTAAGCAATTATTGTTAGTCGTTGTCTTTTAATGCTTCGAGGAGAAGTCGGAGTTTGAAGTTAGAGAGGAACATCGAGAAATGATCTTTTGTTTTTCGGAAAATGGAACGAAGCTAAAGACCATCTGCGATTTTATTTGCAAAACTTCCCCGAAGGCGCAACAATGCCAAAGTGGTGCCAGACAAGAGACACTCGAAGGGGGAGGGGAGGGAGTTTGTAGAGAACTGCAATAGTGTGTCAGGATAATAGGCACTTATATTGCAACTTTTGCGATCAAAATGTGAAACTGCGCCCGAGTTTTTGAAATTTACAACATTGTCATACGCGATTCTTTGCTCATAGCCATTTTAATTGACGAAAAAAGACTCCTTGGACCTCTATATCTTACATTTAACGAGTTGTTCTTGATTTAAACGAGTTTTTTCCTCGTGGACGAGTGTTTCTCGTGTGGACGAGCATTTTTCGTGTGGGCGACTTCAGCAGAACTCTCTTCAAAAATGCTTTAGGAATTTCCGGCACTTTGGGGAGGAGCTGGAAGTCTGTCTATATTGGCTATATCGAAATTCTCAAAACGGGATGCTTTGCGGAGGAGTAGCAGGAGGAAGGCGCGAGGGAGATAAAGTTAGAGGCCGTTTACCCTATCAATCGTATTCTATATAGAAGCCTCTCGGCGAAATTGGGTATCGCCTATTTTCCCGCTTTTATCGCCCCGGCGAAAAATTTCAGTGTCTACCGTCCGTACACGACGTGAAACTATCGCGAGCTCTTTCTTTAATCTTTCTCGATGCAGGTGGAAATTCCCCGGGAGGCTCCGCCGACCTTCTCCCCAGAGAAATGTCTCGCCTCCCCGGTGTCTCACCCTACGACTCTTCCTCTTAGAACCATTGTACCCTTTTCAGCGTTGTTCTATCCGAACCCCTTCCCCCCTCCCCCTCCTGCCTCTTTCTACCGCTTTTACCCTTCGTTCTTTCCATCGTTGTCCCAAGTCGTCCATTCGTTTCACGGCCTCTCGTCCCTCCTCCCCTCCCCCGCTCGTTCGTACTACCCCTTTTCTCGCCGTGCCACCTTCAAGTTAGCCTTCTCGCTTTTATCGTCGGAGGCAGCAGATTTTCCTCATTTTACTTTTCAATCTCACGGAGGATGCGATTTTCTTCCTCATTTCCACTCCGACAATATCGAGAGAGAACGCCGAACAAGCAGATAGAATAAAGAGAAAGAGAGAGAAAGAAAGCAGCGCAGCAGCAGCAGCAGCAGCAGCAGCAGCAGCAGCAGCAATAGCAGCAGCAGCAGCAACAGCAACAGCAGCGATGGTTTCCAGAACTTTATCGACAGTATCGTTGAGAAACGAACGAATGGACGAGCGCGCGAAACGAGAAAGGATGCGGTATTAATCCGTCGATCAGCTGTTAGCATCAGCGCACCATTAGGGAACACGATTTGCTCTAACGATTTCGAAATCGTTTATCTTAGATCGGCGAGTGCAAAGACGCGATGTGTTCTATGAGAATCTAGTTCCTCGCAGTTTATATTCGCGCTTCGAATTCATCCGCAATTGCATTGCTGCACGGAAAAAACGAATTTGTTGAAATATTTAAAATTTAGAGTGTATACAGATCTAAAAATAATTTTATTGAACCATCGAAATAATTATGTTGGAAACTCAATATTGTCCAGCAAATTAGCTGCAAACAATTTTGATATTTTAGCAACCGGTTTGAGTTTCCAATATTTAATTTGGAAGAACTTGAGAGAAGGAGAATTCGATTTAGATATTTGACTTACCTCCAACACGTGCTCCGCTTGATTCTCGCGATCGAGCTTTCTGCCACTGGTAGTGATGAGACCTGTAACACAAATAGCGCAGAGATTAGCGGGCTGCCTGATGGTAATAAATGTTATAGGAAATTCGGCAGAGTCTCTCTCTCTCTCTCTCCTTACTGGCTGATAAGCAACCATTATAACGATACGCTGATAAGAATGTAACGTATAAGTAATGCGCGGTTTCACTAATAATGAGAAGCTGGAGAAGAATCGAGTTCGAGACATGCCAGTTAAAAGATAGAGAGAATCAGATTTAGTTGAGAACGACTGTATTGCTCAGTTCTATCATGCAGAAAATTGTGTTTCAGTTTGCTTATTAATAACCGACTGAAGTTATTCGGCGTGTAAGATTCGGCCTCCCCGTCCTCATTTTGACACAATTAAGAGCGTCTTTTTTACGTATAATATAGAAACGACGCAATAACTGTTTAAGACCACATTCTGGATCCACTAATTATCTTACATAAATAACGAGCTCGAGCGACAGGATGAGGGAAAACGAAGTGACCCTTTGCGCACGATGACCCACCCTCGATAAAATTGTCGCGAGGCGGCGAGAGGACGAGGGGGAGCGGTACAACCCTCGAATTGCGGGCGAACGGGAGGTCCTCCATTTAAGCCCAGAGACAAAGATCGGTCCGATGGAACGAACCCGACGAAATTATAGCGTTCAGATTTTGCCTCGCGTCCGAGTACTCTCTCTCTCTCTCTCTCTCTCCCCCCGTCCTCTTTCACAGCCCGTACCCGCCGCGATATCGAGCTTCATTTTACGTCCCACGGAATCCCTTTCATCATGGTCGCGGAACTCGGCTCGGAAACTCGATTGAGCAAAAATTCGCGGACGCGAAGCCACTGACGAGAGGGGGAGAAATTCTTCCGGTGTGTTCACCGCACTGCGGGGAAACACTTCCAAGGGAAGACGGCAGTTCGAGCGCGATCCCTCCCAATTGCCGGCAAAATACTGTTTGCCAAATAATTAAATGAGGGAACAATTAATGGGAGATGTAGAGAGATGTGTTTGAGAGGCGCGAGCGCCAGAGATACACAGCGAGAAGTTTGCCCAGTGAAGGGGTAAGCCTCGCGCAAAAAGCCTCCACACGAGAACGCAAAGTGCGACGCTTCGACAAAGCGCGACACCACCAAACACAAAAAAAAGAAGCCCTTTAGCGCACGGCTGCGCTGTATAAAGCCGGATCGACCTTTTTTTTTATTAGTCTTACGGCTTCCGGTGACGGCCCAGATTTTATATTATACCGCGAGCTCCGCTAATCGAGTTACGAGGAAGCCGTTGTCGTTCCGGCTCGGAGCTACCGATTCGCGCCGCTGCCGACAAGGCGGTTGCCGAACTCTCGTAACTTTCGTTTTGCGGCGTTTTGCCCCGTTACGATTAAGCGTGACGTGAATCCGAACTCGTGCGAACTGATACGCGAGTACTGGCGGGCATCGTCATTAAAACAAACTACTTTCACATTTTCGTCGGTCCAAAACGCGCGCCCAGTCGCGTTTACAAGCGCTTTATGGAGGCCCGCGATCGAACGAGAGCGCGGAAACGATCTCCACGCAAGTATGAGATCTTCAAATCTAATTTCCGTTTGCTGTTTAATCGAATTCGCGCCATTTCAAGGCTCGATTAATTGCGCCCTTTCGCCGTGTAACCCGTCGACAATTTCAAGCGTGACGGCCTTCGCCCTCACGTTCCTTTTACCCATCAAATGGGAAGTACGAGAAAAGGGGGCGGAGGGGCGGAGAAGGCGAACGGAAGCGCGGCGATAGATCGGAAAAAAAAGGGGGAATTGCGGGAAGTGCCGTTCGATCGAGAGCCGCGAACGCGAATGTACAGAGAGCTCTGGCGCGGCGGAACGCATTTAAATAATTGCTTTTCGTTTTCGTTCCTCACCCTCTCTGCAGGACCATGTCAACCTTCGGCCTGATAGGAATGCACGCCCACGCGCCCGCGCGCGTGTCGAGAGCGGATTCGCGTACGAGACCTCCGCGAGCAAAGCCCGGAGCGGGATAATTCGTTATCGGAAATCAACGGCGCGAGTTTAGACAAAATTATTTACGTTATTATCGGGGCGACACGACACTCGTCGTTATCCCCGTCGTTCGTCGATCGCGGGACGGCCCGACGCGGCGCGGCGCGACGTCGCAAAGTAAGAATCCTGTCCGGGGATAACGACGAATTTATTTTCTCCCCTCGCGCGTAGATCCCCCAATGGACGTCGCGAGGACGGTCTTCCTTGAAGCACCGTCTCGGGCGGAACGCTCGACGGAGTAATATTTTATGATGATAGTGAAAAATGCTTCCGGGTTAACGGCGCCGGAGCAACTGGAAGGCCGCTTAAAGGCCCGCTCATCTCTCGCCGGGAGAAAGTTTTATCGGGATTATTCCCTTATGACGAGCTAAGATTATCTGTCTTTCACGAGCGGCGCCGGCGAGCGTTTTATGAAATTTGCCTACCGGGGCGCTTGCTCGCGCGCTCCCGTATTAAGGAAATCGCAAGTTTCACGGCACGAATAAAAAAACCCAAAGGGTTGATGAACTGGGAGCTTCCTTTAAAAGTCAGGTCTTCTCGATGACATTTTCAATCACGCGGCGGTGCTCCATTAGACGGAAATAACGTGTGTGAAATTTTTATAAAAATGAAGAGAGAGAGAGAGAGAACACCTTATTTCGATAAAGCTCCTCCATTTTCGTTTGCCGTTATTAAAAGCGGCAGATGCATTAATCGAATTGATATGAATTGCGACCGTTTATAGCAATAACACCGCTGGGCAATCAGCGACGTACATCCGCGGAATAAAATCTCGTATTTCTCCACTTTTCACGTAATTAATGAAATTAGTCGGACATATTTTGCAACGCCCAGGACCCCGATTTAACAAAAATCCGGGGGGATTTCTAAAAGCGAACCGCGATTCCCCGCCGGTAGACGCCCAGAGCTTAGCGAGGTCTGATTAATATCTCGCGTTCTACGCCCTATTTAGCCGCCCTAACGCAACGGGCGGGAGGAGCGGGGACGGGGGAAGGGGACACATTTTTGCGTGACGGCGCGTTACGCGCCGAAAGCACGGCGACTAACCGGGCGATTAGGTACCGACCAGGTATACAAGATCGTGTAACGCTTACGACACGCCCGTTCGTTTTGTGCAAGCTCGTTTCCGCGGGCGAGGTCGCATTACTCGGCCAAGATCTATCTAATCTAATTTCGTACCGCCGTATAACACCGCCATTGTTCTCGACATCGTCGTATCTTAGCTACGTGCTGCTGTAACCTGGAAGGCCCGCTGCGCGCGCAAACGCCGCCGGTTAGCACCCGCGATATATGTATAGGTATATATACATATATACATATACACATATATTGTGCAATGCATGTCCGAAAAGCCTTTTCGGCGCACGCCGCACGTTACTTCTCGCCCGAAATACTCCGTTAAGGAAAACGTGTAAACACACGAGGGTAAAAATACGTTGCATTCGTAATAAAATTGTTGGAAATAAAAAGCATGTTGGGTATGCGCTTTGAAATAAGCGTTTTTTACTACTCATTCAAGAAGAGCGCGTTCATCACTCTTTTTCGAGCGTAACACGCGACTCTTCCGCGAGTAAAAATTTCTGAAACTTTTATCTGCGCGTGCCACACATCGGGCGGGCTTGTACGGTCTTAGATCGTAAAACAACACACCGCCTCGCGCCACATAATAATGTTAATGAGGGTGGGACGACGGTGTAATCGTAAAACACGTACATGCGATATACCGTGACGCGTTATTTCAGCATGCATTCTAGAGCGCCATGATGGAGTAGCCTTTTTGCCGGGCTGACCTTTTCCATCGGCCGCGACGCCCCCTTACCTGCGACGCGCGCGTTCCGGCAGATTAAAAAACCTACGGCTTCTCTCTTCTCTCTCTCTCTCTCTCTCCTTGCTTGTTATCGGGCGTTCGTGAAAATTGATCGAGAGGTCGCGGTGCGGCCGATGATTGATAGCACGCGGAATGCGCGCGCGCGGACGCGAACACGAAAGAAGTGTCCGCGCGTAGCGAAAGCGAGGTGATGCATTAATCGAGTGATCCGGTGATTTAATTGCGGAAACGAGTTCCCGACCGAACGGTCGGCCGGCCGCGATTCTTTCTGGAAAAAGGCGGTACGCTTTTACGGCGAAGATCCTTTAATGTAGGTCGCGAAACAACGTTACATTTAGCTCGTACCAACACCTCGTTTCAGTAAAAATGATGGTCGTTAATTTTCCCCGATATATCGTCGGCTCCTCTCTTTTAAAATGAATCTAACGATAATGCAAAACACAAATAAGGAGCATTCTACAATGCGTCGCAAATATCCCATTGTGAAGTGATTGCGACAACTAATCAAAAGCGACAATAATATATACTATTAACGCTTTTGATTGGCTGTCGCAATCGTTTCACGACTGACGACGGGATGTTGGCAAGGCATTGCAAAATGGCCCCTTAAGAATTTAAAATAGAAGATAGTAAGATGATGGTCAAAAAGAATTTCTCTTATTAAAAAAAAACACGCTTGAAAAAAAAATTAAATTCATTTTATACAAGATCAATAATTTACAAAAGTTCACGAGACAGAATTTTATCGTAAATTATTCTAGAATTAGCATTACGGTCGCAAAGAGATTTTCATTTATGTATGCCAATGAAAAAGAATTGCAAATAATAAATTGGTTATTATTCCGCTGATGTGATTATACATACATGAATTTACTGATTTACAAGTCGTGTAAAACGGATTTTAGAAAAAAAAAAAAAAAAAAACCTTGAGTTTTAACACCTATTACGTGAGAAATATCACGTATCCAGTAAGTTCCTTTGAACTCATAATGATTCCGAGCTATCATAGCACCGTCATTAGTAAAAACCGCAATTTTTTTCGTTGTCATGGCTTTCGTTACACGCGGGAGTTTCCCGGCGGAGCGTAATAACGTCGAGTAAATAGGAATCTGCGGTGTATTTGCCGCATAGAGAGAGAAAGAGAGGGGTGGGGAGGAAG